CCCCCCCCCCGCTTTAAACGATACTTGTATCCTCGACTTATACTTGGGTACACCATTAATACAAATATTGCGACATATTTCTAATGAAACTATAATTTCTGTGCATTCGATTTACTTAAATTTTGCTTTGTTTTCAGTGATTTGACCTCCTCGATGTACACGATTGTAGCGGGCGAGCATGACCGAGGGACAAGCGACAGCAGCCAACAGTCGCGTTCCATTTCTACAATAGTAGTGCACGATAGTTATAACTCGTTTACGCTTGATTATGACATCGCGTTACTGAAAGTGTCCACCTCTTTGTCATGGACGAATTATGTTATCCCGGCATGCCTTGAGGTTGGAGGGCACACATTTTCAGATGGGAAGATTTGTTATATCACAGGCTGGGGTGACACGCTTGGTACGTAAAGCAACAATGGTGTTATTACAGTAATAAATACACAACATATACGTTAACGTCACTACCCTTGTGCATTTCTCATACCAGCAGAAGCAGTTGTTCTTGTAGCTGCTGCTGTTGTTGTTGTTCATGTGGTTGTAGTTGTTTTGAAGATACCATATTTATATAATTAAATAAATACATTTACTCATACAAGGAACTGGTGATAATACTTACCTATATCAAGTAGATGTCCCATTACTATCGAATACAGTGTGTAATCAGCCTAGTTATTTGAATGGACGCATTACCGATCGTATGATGTGTGCGGGATATGATGAAGGTGGTAAAGACAGCTGTCAGGTAAAGTTGCTTGAAACACCAGACGAACCTAAGCTAGATGAAACGGTCTAATTATCTACTAGCCAATGTTCTTATAATTATACCGTTCCGTGATTTGTTAATATGTTTATCCATCGTCGATTTCACGCTTACATAAATTTGATAATATGAACGTATTTTGCGATTTACAGTCGGAAGAAAGTTCGAGAGAAAAAGAATTTGCCACGTAACTTTGCTAATGTTTATTCAAGCACCAGGGAAGCTGATGTGACATAATTGTTTTATTTCATAATCCCATTTCACTGAATATGTTTTAAACATTATGATGGAACAAGTCACGCGACAAATAGACCACATGCCTTATATTCTAAGCAGATTCACATTAACCACAATAGCGTGAGACGGTCACTCAGAACAACTTAGGCACGCTGCTATACCATGACAGTGAGCTGACTATTGATGTGTCTCGTGTATGTAAATGTTGATGATCAGAACATCACGTCGACTACCAAAAGAGTTGATACTACAACGACATATTATTATCGAATTATCTCCACCTGTCACATCAAAACTTTTATTTCTAAAATGTGTTTACAAAACATCGCCCATTACATGTTCAATTTTAGCTGTCACGTGCAAAAATAATTGCCACACAAATAAATCCCAATCGGCTATATCACATCGTTCCTATTGTATAACCCGTCAACTAATTTTCAATTCTCAGGATTTCAAAACACTTCGTGAGTTGGTATGTTAATGTAGTAGGCAGAAGCATTTTCCCTAATTAAGTAGTTTAAATAATAATCAACAACTTATTATATGAAAAAATATTGCAAAGCATATAAACTTACAAATATATTACGTTTTTCAGGGTGATAGCGGGGGACCATTAGTATGTGAAGATAGTGATGACCGATGGTATCTGGCTGGTATAGTCAGCTGGGGATTTGGATGTGCCGATCCTATGAGCCCCGGGGTTTACGCAAGAACAAGCTATTTCACAGAATGGATATCACAGGGCTTGTTAGACAACTAAATGTATACTGATTGGTTGACCTGGAAGTATTTTAATACAAAATATTAGTACCCATATTGCTTCAAGTCAAGTTCCCCGAGTAAAAACAACCTCATATATAAAAAGACTTCAAAAAGAGATTCCAAATAACCATATGTTATAATATGGAAACACGTTTTTACACAACACTGGATTACACAGTCAACTGTGTAAACAATATTATAATAATATATTTACAGAAAAATCAGATAAGGAAAATACCGTGTTTTTGAAAGTTTGATAGATTGAGTTACATATGTTTTTATCTGGCATGTTTGTTTGTTCACTCCGATATTTTATGCTTGTTGTATTGATATTATTTCATGACAATATTCTTGAACTCTAGCGACCAAAGAAAATCGTTATAATTAATAGTTATTTATTCAAACTCGAAATGGCAATTCGTATAATGTATATTCCGAAAGCGTATACATAGGAGACTGCACTCACTGGATATTGCTGACATTGTGTTCGGAAATATATTGTTTCCATTTGTTTTGGTCAAAAAGTACGCGACAGGTGATTGGAAATCAACAAAATTGAATTGTATTTTCTGCAGATTCTGATGTGCAATGAAACGGCAAATAGATATATTTTTTTATTATTGTGATATAAATGCCTATCCAGTATGAGTACACACCTTGTGAGAACAGGATATTTTTCGCGAGATTCCCCGTTGCTAATGAATAACACGTTACATAATTTGGTTTTCTATGTATATATTGTCAAATATGCTATTAAATAAGATACATCGGAAGATTTACAGAAATAACAATTTAATAACGATTTCTCTGGTTGCTCAAGTCCATTATTCTCCGATTTTTAACTCTGCTTTTAATTTCTGTCGGACAGGAGTGGAATACATTTTGTAACACAGATTTACATTACACAAGCTGCTACATTTATTCAAGAAATTTACAATTTATTTAAATATTCAAGACAATTAAGTCCATGTATGTATATATTAGAATGTTTTTATTTAAAATAAAATAAAATATTTAAAAATGAATAAATAGATATACATTACTTGACAACATCTCAATATATCAACAGCTGTGTATGGAATCGATGTCATTGTTTAACGCATTTGAACATAGCAATAATATTTTTTCCATGCCACGCACTATCGTCACTAACTGTAAACTAGGTAGTGGATACCCATCAACGACACCTACGAAGAATACGTCATTGCCGGTGGCATCGCTTTTTTTTGCACTGTGTGAACTGGTAGTCATCGTGTCCCCTCCGCAGCGCCGACTACGTTCACCTGACATATTTATATCGTGAATTTGACAAGTTCTTGTGACTGTATAAAGCCAGCAATTCCTGAACCTAGAACTAAGCCTGAAGATTTATAATTGAAGATTTGAAATTTGATTCTTTCACGCAAACAATATAGCCCTTGTATACGCTTATTAATATTTTCGTTTACTGTGTCATCTGATACTAGATCACAATGTGTTTCATGATCCCGAAAATAAATGTTTAAAACATGAATTCACGCTAACCACTAGCGACCGTTTTTTTTCAAAACGTAGATGAATCTGGCACACGAATTTATTAAAGTAAACGAACTTGAATTGACTAACATTTATAATTCCAAGAACAAACAATCTAGCAATTACTGCCTTGTTGTGGTGCCAATATGAATATGGAAATTATCTAATTTGTATATTGTTTATTGAATTATCGACTGTATCTCAAGAACTATTTTAAAAAGTACGATTACGATGGGTATGAAGAGGCTTACCAAAGTAAATCGTACCAATTTAACAGACAGTAAAACGCCGATGCCCACTGACGAAAATAAAGCAGCCAGTTGACCACATTTATCGATTAGTAAGGGGAAGGGGGAAATGCCATATTGGGGTGTAACTACACAGAGTAAATGGATTGATATAGAACTGACGGTGTTGATATTCTAAAAGAGAACCTTTATATATCATGTTCATGCAATTAACAAAAACATTTAACATTTTAATTGGAGCCAAACGAAGGTGAGGTAAGCAATATCCATCATTTGTAATTAAGTTGATTATAAATAAATGTTCAATGTCAGTTTTTCTGTCGTAATCAACACACACATTTGCACTTCTGTACTGCTGTAATATGCTTCAGTTTACGACTCTAAAGTGCCAGTACGACGCCAAAATGAAGTTGTCGAATACATAATCATGTTTGTTTCGTTCAAACCCTCCATTCGACATATATTTATTGAAACCTGAAAACTTTCACGTTCATACATTCTGTGTAGTGTTTGTTACAATTATACTTGTGCAACATGCTGGGATTACCTTGTCAAGATATCGATAATCGCGGAACATAGTGTAGTATTATCGGCTCAAAATTGCGTTATGATTAGTGGTATTGGGACAGTGGAATAATTCTACACTATTTCATGAATCAGATCATTGGAAAACTAGTTAACCAATTAAGTTAAGCAGTAATTATTTAACAAAAAAAATGGATTATTCTTTTTTACTGATAGTCTTTTACTGCAAAGTTGGTGGCAGGGGTTTATGTGGTTTACCTGCAACCCTTCACGGGTTATGTGTTGTCACAACGTACGTCAATGGCTGTTAAAATCGCACCTGGTTTGTGTATTTATCCACTTACTTAACTATGCGTTCATGCGTCCGACATTAGTGGTCTGAGTACATCGTGATGGGAACGTTGTGCCATCGACTTCAATCATATGGGAACAACCAAGCTCTGAACTGAGTCTTCTAGTGAACGAACATTGTTGTGAACAAAAACAAGTACACAGCTACTGCTTGGAACCACGGTTACTAAAAATCTTTAACCGTATTGGAACCTACGACTCTTCTCTAGTGTCTTTGTTGGAACCTCAGACTAGTAATTGTATTACTAGTCTGAGTTGGAACTAAGAACAAGTTTGTTCATAGTAAATACCGAACGTAAAAGATAAACTATGCACAGTCCTTCTATCACCGGTCTCGAAACGCCTATTGTCTTAAGGAGGATTAGCAATAAATAAATAACTATGTACTGGAAAACGAGGTTATCAGCTTTAGAAACGATTTCAAGCCATAAACTCATCGGTGATCGTGGTTCTCTATTTCAAAATCACAATATTCCTTGGCATATTTGCACAATTTCCAATAACTGAACAAATGTGACACAGCACAGAAAGTTGTAATACATTTAAAGCTAAAAGTTTTAATATACCTAAATTTATTCCTGCTTATTAGTATTTATTTATAGAATCGTACCCCTGTTACCGAAATGGACGATGCCATGACAGCTGTATTTCTAGAAATCCCTGATCTAATTCAGTGCCGGCTGCTGTAAATTTGCATACTGTTATGTAACTTTTATATTTAGATGAACAACGAAATGATGATATATGCGAACTCTGATATATACATGTTTAATCACGGGATACCTACTTAGTTCAGTCAGCATAGTGGCCATTTAATGGCTTAGATGGCACAATTCCAGAAGCCGTACCTACACACGAATTGGTGACAAAATACATGACCATCAATCTGGGTCGTTTGCTCGGTATATATGAATTGGTATATACAAATTACAATAAAGATACTTAAGACATTACAAATAAGGTAAAACAAATCACGTGACAAAATAATAATAATAACGGTAATACATCCGAGCTTAACAGATGAACTGAACGATCATACAGTCAGTGGGGTCACGCCAAGGGACACACACTCCGTTGCAACATGGCCGTTTGGTTGAAACTAGGTCATGCAGTGACAGGCGCAAAATACATCAGTAAACACTCACACAATCACAATAAAACGAGGAAGTGTTTGCATATTACGGCGTAGCAAACATGGGAAATGGAAAAACCACCTTATACAAATGTAAACTCAAAGTTGTTGTTGAAATAGAAAGTAAAGTAAGCAAATAACACCGAATAAACGGCAAAGTAAATACTACGTCAAATTACCTTGCTGTTTATTCGGCGTTATTTAAATGCTTACTTTACTTTATATTTCAACAGCAACTATGTCGAATTTACAATTACCTCTCAATACTTATTAACTTTTATAATGCTGTACCATTACTTTCACCACAGTCCCTCTATAGAGGAACTGTGCTTTCACCATCTTAGTACTGCCAGATCTGAAGCCCTTTGCCGCATTCTGGCGACGCTGTGTGGCGCGGATAGGATGGACAGGGTTTATGTTCTTTGCACTAAAACGCTCGGCATCCCGGTGGCCGAGGGGAAGAAGTGCAGTGGCGTGAAGCTAGGCGATTAGGTGCCGTCCGCGAGCGCCGGTTCGAGTCACGCAAATGCCCTTTCAAGCTAATTTTGTTTTGATCTCATGGCACGCTTGTGCACCACGCCACGTCGTTGGTCGTTGAGTGGTGTTCATTTTGCTAAGGGACGGACCATTTGATATCCTGGGGGCCAGGAAAATTGAAATGAAGCCTACTTTTTTCCCCTATCTGATATAGAATTTTTTTTCAGCAGACCTTTTACATGCATATAGTGTAGGTTTTTGTTCACGCATTTTCATAGAATTTTTTCCACAAACAACCCCCCCCCCCAGGGACAGGAATACTGGACGACGCGCAATTAGTTCAACAGTTACCAGATCGTGACAAGAGATAAACAGAAGACCAAAGTCAAGGTAAGTTTTACTAGATATTAAAGTGTACGACGGCGTTCCCTATATCACGAAAACAATTCAGGTAACAGAAGAATATATTCTGTGGTGTAGTGGTAATTATACAGAGCCTGTGGAAGTGATATTGAGGGTTCGTATTCAGCAGTTAACATTACCAATGATACCAGTATTTTTATTTCAGTATTTTAACAACTTGTAATAGTGGAAAATAATTAAAAAAGATTTGTTTACACCAAAATAAGTATCAAATATTTGTTGAGCATTTGTTATCTCAATTCAAAAACTTGTAATGGTGGAAAAAAATTAAATGAGAATTGTTTACACCAAAATAAGTATCAAATATTTGTCCACACATTTATTCTCTCAATTTAACAACTTGTAATGGTGGAAAATAATTAAATGTGAGTTGTTTACACCAAAATTAGTATAAAATATTTGTTGAGA